GGTGAAAGGGCCCCATCCACTGCCGTTGAGGCTCACGATGGTGAAGTGAGGGCGGCTACCCCCGCTTCCCCCTTCTGCGGATCCCCGCGGAGCGGAGTCCTTGGAGGAGCTTCTGGGCACGAAGCTTGCGCATGGCGGCGGCTGCGGCGGCCTTGCCTGCAGCGTCGCCTGCCTCCTCGCCGTTGCCCACCTCGCCCGACACGGCCTCTGCTGCCCCCTCCTCGGCGGCCTCTTCCTCCAGGGAGTCCAAGATGACGTCGACGTCCTTCTCGTCGATCTCCTGCTCGTCGCCGCTCCCGTCACGCTCCGCCGCGGCACCTGCTGCGGCAACGCGCTGTGCCAAACGCCGCAACTCTGCGACTTGGCCGTCCCATTGCTCAGCGAAGCCAGGGGCGAGCATGCCTGAGCACTGATTAAGAGCGGCGAGGAAAGCGGTGGCTCGCTCACCCTCGCTGAGCTGGGCGCCTGGGGACGCTGGGGCAGCCGTCCCTCGCGGCCCTTCCTCCCGCTGCTGTGCTTCACGCTCGCGGAGCTGTTGCGCCAGGAGGTTGTCGATGAGCGCCTGGAGCTCCTTCTCGCCGGCCTGACTCTGCGCATGTTTGCCCTCCAGCTCGAGCTTGTGGGCCTGTAGTTCAGCGAGCTGCTTGTCCGCCGCCGAGATCCTGCTCGCCAAGGCCGCCGTGGTGGCCTCCTGGTTCTTCTGCTTGCGCTCCAACTCACTGAGCTGGACTGATGTAGGCTTGGTAGCTGCCAGCTCGTTTTCCAACTGCTGCGCCTCCTGCCGTTTGGATTCGAGAATGGCCTCCGCGCCGTCCACGCCCTCGATCTTCTTGATCTCACTTCGTAGCTTGCCCAATCGGCGGACACGTTCTGACTTGTCGTCAGGCTGCGACCCAACGCCTGCCGCCCCAGCGCCACCGCCATCGACTCCTGGTCCTGCTTGGCTGCTGGTCTCCAGCTTTTTGACCTTCCTCCGCAACTGGTTGAGCTCGTGGCGTTCTCTGGCGTCCAGTTGTGACATGCCACTCCACCAAGAACTCGTACCAGAACCGCTTTCCCACCAGTCGTAGCCGCAACTCCTGCAGACATGCCGAGAGCCCCAATTCTTCTTGGCTCCGCACTGAGGGCAATCCCAGACCCTGGGCGCTGCACCGCTGCCGCCCGCGCCTGGAGCTTGGCCGCCCCGCTGTCCACGGCCACTACTGGCTCTGCCGCCGCCGCCGCGCGCGGCTCCTCGAGCACCACCTCCTCGTCCTGCCATTGGTCGAGCCCGCCGCGGCTGGGCTCCCAATCGGGCGACTGGGGCCGGGTGTCGGTGATGTAATATGGAAAGAACTGTGGCCCCAAGGGCCACACTGAAAGTTTGGAAGATTGGGAATCTGACCCAAGAATGGACGCGACGGCTAGAGCCAGCCTCATGAGACCAGACATCTGCCCTGATCGCGCCACCTTGAGCCAAAATGGCTTGAGCCAAAATGGCTACGGATGATGATGATGATGATGATGATGATGATGATGATGATGATGATGATGATGATGATGATGATGATGATGATGATGATGATGATGATGATGATGATGATAATGGTGATGGTGATGGTGATTGTGATGGTGATGGTGATGGTGACGGTTATGGTGATGATGATGATGAGGAGGAGGAGGAGGGATACGGATGGGTTCCCCGCTCGTTGGAGATCAGCAGGCCCTGCTCTCCGATCATGCCAGACCTCCCGTGGGGATTCGATCTGTTCGCGACGATCTTGCCTCCGGACCTCTCGTTCCCTCCCCATCGGGACAGGTTTTTCATCCCTCAGGAGGGGAGAGAACACACAGACACAATTAATCGTCGATTCCCCCGTAGAAAATGGGAAAATCTAGGAAGTGGGGGGGAAGACTAAAACCCAGAAAATATTGGAAAATCTAGGGGATCCTCATATTCGTGACTATTTATTTGTGTGTCCCAGGGCCCCTTCAATCCCTGAGGGCGTGTTCGCATGGTCCTGGGGCCCGGTGAACCCAAAGGTCGCTAAAAGTCTGTATATTGTCGGTCTCTCAGATCCCGTTATCGGTTAAGCGCACTCCCATTTCAACGGTCGGCCAGTCTTCCCTTTTCCCTCCTCTTCTGGGAGGGGCTGTACATCCAACCTACTCTCAGCGAGTTTAAAGTCCAGATGCTTCGCGTAGCCTCGCCAGCCCATCCAGAAACGATGTCCAGGCGAGTTGCCTTCATCAGGGACCTAGATGAGAATACCGTGGAATCAGGGGCTTGGGACGCTGTCATTCCCCAAGAGAGGGATGATTGAGGAAGAATCGGAGGAGGAAGAGGAGGGGAGGGAGGAGGACGAGGGAGGGACAAGAAGGAATAGGCGGATGAGGAAGATGAGTAAGATGAGGATGAGGAGGAGGAGGAGGAGGAGGAGGAGGAGGAGGGTGAGCAGAAAGGCCAGAAGCCTCTTGGAGACCTCTCGGGATTTCTTCAGATATCTCTTGAGAGCTTCTTGGAGTCTTCTTGGGGCGTCTTGGGGGCCTCTTGGCGGTCCTGGGGGCCTCTTGGGGCGTATTGGGCGAGCCTCTTGGGGCATCTTGGGGGTTCCTTGGGAGCCTCTTGGGGGCCTCTTGGGGGCCGCTTTGGGCCTCCTTGGCGCCTATTGGGGCCCTCTTGGTAGTCTCGGGGGCCATCTTGGAGGAGATCGATCAAAGAAGGGGGGGTAGTCAATTAGACCCGCCCCCCAGGAGGCCAAAATGGGACCAACACCTTCGTAAAACAAATGGGTTCTGCCTTCTTGCCGAGGCCGTCTTGGACTCTCCAATCGGTCTCGCCCCCCTCGCCTCCAGGACCAGGGGAGGGGGTGGGACAGGGGTACATCCCTCCCCGAAGGGGAAGAAGGGGGTTGGAAGAGGAAATGCTCTAAACCACTCACGCCCTAAAGGGCTGGTGGGACTTCATGTCATGCTTTTACCCACTTCTTCCGACCGAAGGGTACAGGCTTCAGCCAGATGCCGAAATTCGGAAAACCTTCAGATAGATTGCGAAGGCCTTACGGCCGGTGCCGCTGACCCTGAAGGGAGACGAGAACGACGACGACGACGACGACGACGACGACGACGACAACGACGACGACGACGACGACGACGACGACGACGACGACGACGACCACGACGACGACGACGACGACGACGACGACGACCACGACGACGACGACGACGACGACGACGACGACGACGACGACGACGACGGCGACGACGACGACGACGACGACGACGACGACGACAACGGCGGCGGCGGCAACGACGACGACGCTGACGTTGGCCAGAATCCTCAGGGCTGGTTCTTGGGATCTCTTCGGAAGTCTCTCGGGGGCCTCTGGGTAGGAAAATGTAGGAATTGTGCGGCCTCTTGGGAGACTCTTTGGGGCCTCTTGGGAGCCTCTTGGGAGCCTCTTGGGGGCCTCTTCGGGCTTCCTGGGGTACCTCTTGTGGGCCTCTTGGGGTCTCTAGGGAACCTCTTGGGGCCTCCTGTGAGCCTCCTGGGGCCGAAGGCTCAAACTGTCCGTTCGGGACGTGGGCACTCTCCTGGAGCCGTCTTGGGGGCGTCTTGGGCCGTCTTGGGAGGCGTCTTGGGCCGTCTTGGGGCCCTCTTCGGCCGTCAGGGGACCCTCTTGGGGGCCTCTTGGGCCGCCTCGGGGCGATCTTGGGGGCCTCTTGGGCCGTCTCGGCGCGTCGGGAAGCGGAAGAGGCAAGAACGCCACAATCTGTCAAAAACGTATTGGACATCCATGGGTTTTGCCTCTTGGGGCTCCCGTGGGAAAGCTCCTGGAGGCCTCTTTGGGCGCTTTGCAGGCACCTTGGGCCGTCTGGAGGCCGTCAAGGCGTCTTGGACAGATCGTTCAGCAATTCGGGGTTCTCTTGGACTGTCTTTGGGCCTCTTGGGGCACTCTTGGCCCGTCTTGGGGATTTGTTGGGCTCCGAGAGGGACTCCCCGGGGAGGGCGTCTGACCCCCCCCCCGGGCCCGGGACCCCCCCCCCCGGGGGAGGGATCGAAGGGAAGGGGCTTCCTTTCGACTCAAGTACGACGTTGCTCAACTTCGCTTTGGCTGGCGCGCTGAGGAGGTATCTGGGAAAGGGGGGAGCTTCGACGAGCCCAGGGAAAGAGGGAGGCAGGGAAAGGGGACAACAGAGACGACGACCAACGAACGACGGAGATGACGACTTGAACGGACAAGCCCCTCACACACGCCGACAGGGTCGGCGGATTTTATGCAGTGTCGCGAGAGATCTGGGTCAACTCCAAAGTTCCCCCCCAAGACCTCGTCAGGGACGTGTCTATACCAAGACGCCGAGGCGGATCCAGCCGTGGCCACGACGGCGCCCAGGGATGCCCCCAAAGCCCCTCACAAGCAATAGAACGCCTCGAGGCCGGGAGACCCAGATTCATGTCTCCAATTCCTTCTTTAGAATGCGCTCGCGTGTGGTAGCGCCTGGTGATCAAGGAGAAAGCGCAGCTGTAGCGTCGATGATCGTCGGTTAGCGTCGATTCGCAAGAGCAAGCAAGTCGGGGGTTGCCAAAGGTGCCCCTGGCCCGAGGTGCCCCACAGGGTTTCGCTCCATTTTGGAGCCCCCGGAGCCCTCCGGGCCTCGTGAGAGGTTCTCTTGAGGCCGTGGGGGCCTGCTTGGAAATCCTGGGGGCACCTTGGGCCAGGGGCACTTCTAGTAACACCCGATGACGATGGTATGGGAGGCTCCCGCGAGTTGTCACCGGACATTTCCGCGGCCTCGCAGTCAGGACTCCTCGGGTGCGACCGCCTGGAGACAGGGCGGCGTTGTGCCAGGTGCCCCGCGCGGATCAAGGCGCTCGCGGAACTATGGGATCGTGCCGCTGTGCTGTGTCCAGACCGCGAGGGCATAGATGTGTTGATGCCCGTCGCTCGTGACGAGCCTCGGTCCTCGAGCCTCCCCCATCCGTATCTGCACGCTCTGCTGAGCTTCGCCCCGCCGCGCAGGGCTGGCGTGTGGCAGCTCGTGTACTGGCCGTGCTTCGACCGGAGGACCAGGGCCGCGCGCGCGCGGAGGGGCGGCGGAGGGGCGGGGCAAGGCCGAGTCTCCCCCGCGCCGAGTCTCGCCATCGGGACTCCGAGGCAAGGATTTATCCACCACCACCGCCCGGGGGATCGGTCTTCGGGGAACTCTGCAGGCGGTGGATATGGATATAATTCTAGACGCTTCGCGTAACCCCACCAGTACCTGCACGCTGGCAGTACGACTCAGTTTCAGCCTGCCCCCTCCACTCGCCTGTCCGCCGCTGAGGTGCTGCGTGAGGCTCCGCCTAGCCGCTTTAGGTGAGGGGCCGCCCCGTTGCTTTAGGTGAATTTGTCGCTGCGTGCCCCGCTTTGACTGGACTCGCCGCTGGCGCGCTCGCCCGCGGCCGCTGACTAAAAAGTAACCCCACCAGTCTACTTCTGCCGGCTCGCGTTTCGCTTACGACCTTCTCGACGGTGCGCGGTTGGTTCCGTGTCACTCGCGATCAAAAAAGTAACCCCGCCAGCCTGATGCGACAAGGTTCATTTCACGTACCTGGTCATCCAGCTCCCATGGTACCCGCGCGTTTGCAGCTTCCTGGCAGCCCCAGCAGCTTGCAGTCCCCACCCTCGACATTGTTTTTCAGCTTCGGCGGTTGCAGCACGGCCCAAGGCGCAGCTGCTTCCCCCAGCGGTAGGTCCTGCTTAGTTCCGCGCGCGCCAGCAATTAGGTTCGCTCGTAGCCCGAGCCGACTCGACCCGCCGCTGGCGCCTTCGCCTGCGGCTGCGAAAAAAAAAAAACAGCCCATCCAGAAACGATACCCAGTGGAATAAAAGGGCTGGGTAAGACGTCGCAGGAGGAATTGGAGGAGGAGGAGCAGGAGGAGGAGGAGGAGGAGGAGGAGGAGGAGGAGGAGGAGGAGGAGGGCGAGCAGAAAGGCCAGAGGCCTCTTGGATGCCTCTCGGAGTCTCTTCGCATTTCATTCGAGAATTTCTTGGAGTCCTCTTGGGGCGTCTTGGGGGTCTCTTGGAACCTCATGGGGCTCTCTTGGGAGCCTTTTGTGGGCATCGTGGGGGCATTGTGGGGGCATCCTGAGTACCTCGTAGGGCAGTCTTGGGACACCGTTGCACCTTTGAGAGCCTCGGGGGCCATCTTAGGGCCATCTTGGAAGAGATCGACCAAGGGCGGGGTTCTCGTTACGTAGGGCCCGCCCCCCCCCCGCGAGGCCGAAATGTGGCCAAAACCTTCGGGGGTCTCTCGGGGGCCTCTTAGAGGCATATTCGTCGCTTCCAAAACCCTGGTACAATCGCTGATGGCGAAATTCCCACCTCGCGGGGACGGTCAACAGGCGACTGGGGACGAAAAGTCCGTCCCGGGGTGCAGGCTCCGAGGCCTCCGCGGAGGTCCACGTTGCCAAAGAAAGTGGGTGCCGCGGGCTGCCGGCGAGCGGGCCCTGAGCAGCCTGGAAGGTCCAGTCGGGGGCGGCAGGGTCCCCCGTTTATTCACACTTTTCGATGATTGTGAGCGAGTTCTTCCTCTCTTCTGCGCCTGCGGTCTCGGTGTTGAGAGATCCTCATCACTTAGCGGCGAGATTTCAATCGACGAAGATAATCTAGTTGCTTGCGGTAAACCCCGCCACCGTGCTTGCGCAACAGCGCAGCAGGAAAGAGGCTGAGTGCAAGAACAGCGCAATTCCGACGAGTAATCTGCATTGGGGCGGGTCGTGATCCCGACCTCGTCTTCGTCCGCGCGGTAGGGAGGAGGAGGAGGAGGAGGAGGAGGAGGAGGAGGAGGAGGAGAAAGCGGATGAGGAGGAGGAGGCGGAGGAGGAGGAGGAGGAAGAGGAAAAGGAGGAAAAGGAAAAGGAGTACATGAGGAGGAGGAGGAGGAGGAGGAGGAGGAGGAGGCTTCTTGGGGCCTTCTTGGGGCTTTCTGGGGGCCTCCTGGAGCTTGCTGAAAGCTTGTTGGGGGCCTCGTGAGGCCTCTTGGAGGCCTCATGAGGTTTCTTGGGGGCCTCTTGAGGCTTCTTGGGCCGTCTTAGGGGGCTGTTGACCCGCCTGGCGCTTATGGAGGGCGCCTTGGGGGCTTCTCTAGGAGCGGTTCATGGCCCTTCTTGTATTTTCTTTGGGAGCCTCTTGGTTGATGTTGGGGTCCTTTGGGGCCAACTTCGGGCCCTCTTGGGGGCCTCTTGGGCTGTCTTGGACCTGCCTTGGAGGCCTCTTGGAGGCTTGTTGTGCCGTCTTGGGCGGTCGGGAACTAGAACGGATGATAACCTGACTGCCTCTCAAGGACCTTCGGGAAATCCATGGTTTGGGCCTCACCAGGCTCTCCAGGAGGGTCTCTTGGAGGCCCCTTGGGCAGTTTTCGGGTGATTTTGATATGTCTTGAGGTTGTCTTGGGAGCCTCTTCAGCAGTCTTGGGCCATCTTGTGCCATCGTGGCGTCAACTTCGTTGCCTTGAAAGCCATCCTGGCGGCCATGAGGCTCTCAAGAAGGCCTCAAGACAGATCAAGAGGCCCCCAAGGCGGCCCAAGAGGTCTCCAAGAGGCCTCCTAAGAGAGCCCGAGGAGGCCAACACCATTGATTTGCCTCACGTTTTTGAAGTCGTGTGAGGTTCTGGCAGGTTTTGGTTTCCGACCGCCCATGGAAGCCCAAGCGGTCTCTCTTGGCCGCTTTGCTGCTCTCTTGGAGCGCTCCAAGGCCGTCTTGGAGCCCTCTTTGGGAGCCCCCTTGTGCGATCGTTGGATTCTCTTGGGCCGACTTTGGGCCTTCTTTGGGACCTCGTGGGCTGTCTTGGAGCTATCTTGGAGGCATCTTGGAAGCCTCTTTGGCCGTCTTGGACGGTCGGAATCTAGAACAGGTGAGAACCTCGACATCTTTCAAACACCTGGGGGAAATCAATGGTGTTGGCCCCCTCGGGCTGTTCAGGAAGGCATATTGGAGCTCTCTCGGACCGTCTTGAGGGCATCTTGGGTCATCTTGCGGCCCTCTTAGGTTATCATGTGCCATCTTGAGGCTCTCTTGAGAGGCTCCTGAGCTGTCTTGGTCCATCTTGAGCCGTTTTGTTGTCGTTTTGGCTGTCTTGGAGGCCGTCCACCTTGGCCGTCTGGAGGCCGAAAAGACCGCCAGAAAGCAATTTCAGAGGGTGCGGTGTTCGAACCACGCGCGCGAGGAGGGTGGGGGGAGGCCCTAGAAAACTTTGGAAAGCCTCCCAGACGACTAACGCGCATTTTGACACGCCCACCCCGTGCAGGGACGGTGGCGGCTTTCCGATATTCGAGCCTCGATGCCCTATCTTCTTCCGTGAGAAGAACGATGGCAGCGGCCTCAAGGCTAGCGTGGGCTCCGCTGTCTACCGAATCTGGAGTTTAAGCGTATCCGGCACCTCCTCCCAAAGCGGCGGCGTATAAGTATGATCCACCCTTGAAAGTGCGGGATCCGCGTCGTACCCTCGCCATGAACGGAAGGGGCCTTATACCCTAGCGCTTTACCCAGGACTGGCTTTTCATGCTGGGTCGTTCTAACGGCACGGCGAACAACAATTCCAGCAACCATTTCTTCCACGTCGACCTTGAAATATGAGCCCCCAGACCATTTCTGGTCTAATCCGACCAAAACCTCGAGGGGCAATCCAGCCGTGGTGACGAGGAGCTTCCCAGGAGGCCCAAGAAGGCTTATACATCGGGCGACGAAACCCGATACCATGACCGAGATGTCGCGAAATCTTGTCGACGACGATCTTGGTCATGATCCATGCTGACCGCTGCCGATTTGCGACGATGATCCACGAATTGATGCTGACCAAGGCTAACGATGATCAAGGATCGACACCGACGTTTCCGCGTTTAGTCATGGTAATGGTCATCGTTTGCCCCCCCTCCCAGGAAGGCGCCAACATAATTCGATCCTGGACCTTCACGTTAGGATGCATATCCTGGAAGTCTACTTTCCGCATCGGCGCTGGTATAAAACGAAAGCCAGTTTAATCTGGTATTGTTCGTCGTCATGCTCCTCAATCATGCTGAATCCCTCGGAGGTTCTGGCCTAATCTTATTTGATTTGGCGTAGTCGCCTCTGCTCGTCCTTACGAGGTGTTTCCAGAACTTGCCTCCGAATCGATCTTTCATGCTGATGCCCTCGGCGGCCTTCCCTTCGAAGCACCCGCCGAGGGGCGCCATTGCCGCGGGCGCCGGGCGCGCCGAGTACGCGCGCGTGCTCTTCGAGGAGGCAGGCGGCGCCGGCTTTCCTGGGCCCAGAGCACCGGACGGGGTCGCCGCCGCCGCCGTCGCCGCGCCAGCCTCTCGCCGAAGGAAGAGAAGAAGGAGCACAACAAAGCACCACATAAGGTTTTTGGCTACTTTCGGGCCCCAGGACAGGGAGACGTCGATTCGGGACGAAAAGACGCCGGTCCCAGGGAAGGGGTCGAGCTCTCTGGGGGTCGACTCCCTGCAAAGAGCCACGGCGTCCAGGCTCTGGGAATGGCACGGTCAGGGCCTCTTTGGGGTCCGTGCTTGCTTCTTGGAGCGGCGCTGCGCCCGTCCTGGCGGCGCCCCTCCCTGGCGCAGTGCGCGCGCCAGGGAGGGTCGGGTCAGACGAAAGGGGGGGATTGGGAAAGGGGGGGTTACGAAATCTGCTGCATGCAGCTGGTTTCGGCCCCCCGAGGGGCCCGTTCCTTGATACATGGGCGCCTCCGGCGCCGGGAGGCGCCGGGAAAATCAGCTGCGTGAGCTGACTCTCAAACCCCCCCTTTGCTGTCCCCCCCTTTCGCCCAGCCCGAGAGGGGCGGTCCAGCCTCGATCCCAGCGGTTCGCGCGGACTTCGGCAGCTTATGGTTGTGCCGATGGTTTTGCTTCTGTCTTGGGCCCTCGGGGTCGTCGCCGCCGTCGCTGGCAGGAGGAGCAGGAGGAGACAGAATGCGCCAGGAGGATGCAGGAGGATGCAGGAGGATGCAGGAGGATGCAGGAGGAGGAGGAGGAGGAGGGGGAGGAAACAGGATATGCAGGATGCAACAGGAAGGGGAGGATGAGGAGGAGGAGGAGGAGGAGAAGGAGGAGGAGGAGGAGGAGGAACTCACGCAATAAGCTCGTTCTTCATGCCTGGTCGACGCTCAAACATGAGGATGAGAAGGAGGGAGGAGGAGGAGGATGAGGAGGAGGAAGAGGAGGAGGAGGAGGAGGAGGAGGAGGAGGAGGATGAGGAGGAGGAGGAGGAGGTGCAGGGAGAGGAGGAGATAGACAAGCTAGGTGCGCGCCTACTTTGACGGCCTACCCCTCACATCCATCCGTTTTCATTTCGCTGATGTTTCCTCTATCCGCCGACGAGTGTCCTAGTGGAGGAGGAAGAATCGGGGGCAGCAAAGAGGGGGGTGATGACTAGGAGGGTGTGGATATCATGGCGGGGGGCATGATATTTCCCCAGATTTCATGGCGCCTCTTCTTATGTCATTACGTCCCTGGTCCCCCCGCTGGGCCGCGCACATGCCGCCGGTCATGATTTGCACCCCCCCCTCCTGGACACCCCCCTCTTGGCCGCTCCCGAAAGAAGGCGGATGAGAAGGAAGATGCACAGGAGGAAGAGGAGGAGGAGGAGGAGGAGGATACGGAGGAGGGAGGAGGCGGATCAGGATGAGAAGAAGCAGCGGCAGCAGCAGCAGCAGCAGCAGGAGCAGGAACACGAGGAGCAGAACGAACACGAGGACCGCGGGACATCGGAGGAGAGGAACTGAGGGGGGCGGCCACGACGAGGAAGGACTCGGATCCAGAAATGTGGCGCCCGCGCTTGGGCGAGAGCGCCGTTCTGACTGACGGGGACACGGCGCCGATCCTGAAAGAAGGCCCTGCGCTGCAGCGGGACACATCATGCAAACCATTTCCTGGGCAGCTTTATCATCCTCCTTCTCCTCCTCCTCCTCCTCCTCCTCCTCCTCCTCCTCCTCCGCATCTCCCCCTCCCAACCGCCATGTGAGCGATGCAAAACACGGTCTCGGCTGCGCGGGCATTCGCGAGTAAGCTGCCCGCGCGCGTGAGCGCCCTTGTTTCAAAGGTGGCGTGCCGCGCCGGCGGCCCGCCCAAGCCAGCACGTGCACAAGGTCTCCACGCCGTCATGCGGAGGACCCGTTCCTGTGCGTCGCGCAGCTGCTTTCATCCTTCTTCCCCTCTCTCCCTCTCAGTTGCCACGCGCGCCTCTCTCTCGTTCTCGATCTCGACGTGCCCGGTCGGCTGAGCATAGGAGGGCGGGGGAGGGTTGGCGCGCCAGGTGCGCCCTAACACTGCGAGGAGCGCCTGCACGCGCGGGTGGCCCCCTCTCCGCCCGAGTGACCTTGTGGAACGCGCGGCGTTCGAGGGGCACCGGGGGGGAAGGGGTCAGAAGAGTCGTGGAGGACGATCAATGGAGAGGAAGCATGCTGCAAAATAATTCCCAGGTGTCTAAAACATGTGTGAAAACATGTTTCAAACATGTAAGAAGCATATGTTTCAGACATGTTCCGAGCATGTTTCCTACACTTTTAACACATGTCAAATTCAATGATCCCACTGTTAGGGTGTCCGTTGTCGTGGCATCCACAACAGAAGAGGTACGTAGCACCCCGCAGGTGCGGATAAGAGTGAGGGAGCGGTGGGGACGTCAGCGGTTTGCGAGACTCCTTGGAGAGGCCCGCCGCAGGCGCCAAAGTTCCACAAAATATGCAACGAGTCCGCCGCAGGTGCCGATTCTTTCGTTCAACTAATGTGGGTAGGTCGTGGGTGGGTCACGGGTGTGTCGCGGGCAGGTCGGGGGGGAGGGGCCAGAAGAGGTACGCATACCGATGCCGCGCTCGTCCTGGAAAAAGCCCTCGTCGCCACGGCAGGATTCTCGCTGAAGGTTCTGAACAGAACGCTGCCCGCCGGGAGAGGACCTCGGGATAGGGGTATGGTTACGTTTTTTATCCCCCCAGGGGGTGCCAAGCCCAAGCGCGCAGGCCGCTGCCGTCGCATCGCGCGCAACGACCGCCCAGCCGCGCACCAGAGGTCGCTCCTCTTGCCCAGTCCTCCTCCTCCTCCAACTCCTCCTCCTCCTCCTCCTCCTCCTTCTCCTTCTCCTCCTCCTCCTCCGCCTCCGCCTCCCCTTCCTCCTCCTCCTCCTCCTCCTTCTCCTCCTCCAGGCCAGGGCCAGGGTCTGGTACTTTCGCATGGCGTTTCGCGCCGCTGGTCCTGGCCCACGACGCCTCGGCGCGACACATGCTGTCCACTTCCCGTCCCTGCGCGTCCAGCGCCCACGCCCCGAGCTTTTGGAGGCCTCCCGCGGAGCGGAGCGCCACGCTGTCCGCTCGCAGGAGGCACGGCGTGTCGCGGGGGCCGCCGCGCGCGACGCGCGCCGAGCACGGGTTCCCGACCGTGCCCTTTGGCTTTCGCGGGTGGCCCGAGCTGGCGAGACTCGGGGAAACGTAAGACTCGAGTAAGCCGGAACTCGGGTTTGCCGACGTTTTTTTTGACGAGCGCGTCCTGGATCTTGACGGTCCTGTTTCCGTGGGATGTTTTTGCAGCAGGAGCCCGCGTCAGATTTCAGATTGGGTCTCGTCATCTTTATGATGGCCTCCGTCAACCCAACCCGCGTCCCCCGTACCTCACCACCCACCAAACCACCCCAACCCAACCCGAAGGCCCAAATTTATCTTCGATTTCCAGTGGGGGGGGTCAGGGAACATTGAAAAAACACATATGGAACCCGTACCCCCCCCAACCCGAAATTGGGGTCTTCGGGTTGGGTTGGGGTGGTCTGGTAGGTAGTCAGTACCCGAGTCCTACGTTTCCCCGAGAGACAGGTGTGCGGTACGAGGAGGTGGAGGACGCCAGCTTCGTCCGGGACTTCTTCTGGAGGCGAGCGGAGGAGCGCAGCCTTCTTGGGCGGGCGCGGCTTCCCGTGCCGTGCCTGAGGGGCACGCCTGGCAGGGCGCTCGCTCTGTTCGGCTTCCCGGGGGCCCTTGCCGGGCCTCGGGGCAGTCAAAAGCGACTCGGGATGGGAGTGGATCCAGACCTCTGGAGGTCGACGTCATGAAAAGTCTCAACGTCGGATGCACGGGATCCCCGAGTTCTGCCCAGAGGTAGGCCGGTCAGAAAAGCGGGGGAATTCGGGGATGCACCCCTGGGGGTTTATTTGGGCGCACCCCCAAGGAGGATGGACGCTCCCCCTTCGTATATCCCCGAGTTTGGCCTCAAATGTTTGGTCCATTCGAGAACCCCACTAAGTCGGGGATCGGGGTCGATATCCTCGTCCTGCCTCTGTATGTTGTGTCTGTTGTTGTCAGCGCCTGGCGCAGGCGCGTGTCGGTCGCCGGAGAGCTGGCCGCGAGCCACGTCGTCAAGATCCATCCCACATATACCCTTTTGGGGCCCACTTCGATAATGTAGATCCGCTTCGTTATCGACTCTGGCCGGCTCGATACGATTCGGTTCTCGTGCTCCGACGATCCGATGCGGCCAGGTGCGTGCAGAGCGCTGTTGATCATCTGGGCGCAGCCGATCCGATCCGATCCGATTCCGACTCCGTGCCGTCGCAGCCCGATCCGACGCACACTCCGATACGATTTTTTGTTCGATTCGATGTTGACTGATCTCGTCCAGTACCTCACCACCCACCAAACCACCCCAACCCAACCCGAAGCCCTCAATTTGCCTTCCATTTCCAGTGGGGGGGGGGGTCGGGGAACGTTGAAAAAACACATGGTATCCGTACCCCCCCAAACCCGAAATTCGGGTCAAATTCGGGTCTTCGGGTTGGATTGGGGTGGTCTGGTAGGTAGTCAATACCCATTGCCCTGAGATCCGGCGTCGTGAACACACCATAGCACATGGAATTCATGGCCGGCGGCCTCGACCCCACCTCGTCATCAGCGCGAGCCAGATCGATCGGTGAGGGGCCTTGGGCTTAGGGGTCCGATTCGGGGCAGCCGTGCCTCCGTGATCCTCGCACGACGCCCGGTGCTGGTGTCGCCCCGTTTGGGCGGGAGGCGGAACCACACCAACATCAGCGGGTCACCGCAAGCGAGTACTGTCGAGGCTGATTGGTAGGTCGAACCTGCCGAATCAAGGGTACCCTGGTGTCCTGTGCTTCGCGGCCCATGCCTTCTACATTCCTGTGGCGATGTGGCCATCGGAAGGGTCTTGTATCCTCTCGCGTGTCCCCTCCAATCAGCCCCGACTGTGTGTCCACGGTGCCTCCCCGAGCTTGAGGTTGGAGACGTCGCGAGCGGGACGCCGCAAAACAGGGGGAAGGGGGGACATACCACCAGGAGGGCACTCCCTGGTTCCAGGCGTGGGTGGTGGTGATGGTGACTGGTAGGACCTACACGAAGGGGACTCGGGCAGGCCGCGCCTCTCTGGCAGGCACGTTCCCCGAGGTCTGGCGTCGTGATTCCATAACACGGACTCAGTACGATCGAAATGGGTACAAAAAGAAGTGGCGCGAAGATTGACAGCAATTCCTTTCAATTTTAAACAGGGTTTGCTGTCCGTGCCGCCGCGGGCGTTATCCATTTGAGACAGACGGCCGCCTGCCCAACAGCGGTCGCTGTCGGTTTTGAACAACATTTGCTGTTGGACATCGTACCCACTGTTCCTGTACACATGTCGGTCGTCAACAGTATCTTGGTGCATCAAGACCGGGGCCATCGACCTTTTCTTGGGGCGCCACCTACCGATCCGATCGAGACACGCGCGCCTGGAGTTGTCTCTTGGCGACGCCCAGACGTGGTGCCGCCGCCGAGCGCTTTCCTGATTACATGGACGCCTCTGGCGCAGGGAGACGCGGGAGAAACCAGCTGCGTCAGCTGCTGTGCTAGGCCCACCTTTGCTGCCTTCCTCTTTGCCACAGATCCAACGTTGCGAAAAGCATGAGGCACCGCGGACATCACAACCAGAGCCCAGGACCCCACCTCTCTGTTGCACCTCCGATCTGCATCGAGCTGTGCTGGCCCCTGGGGCCCGAAAGCGCATTCAGTTGTGGAGGGCTGCAACGCCAGGGTCCCAGAGGTCGCCCGCCCCGACCGCCAGGACTCGGACGGGGCCAGGGCGAGCATGCATCCGTTCCAGAGCGTTCCAGGACGCTGTCAGAGAGTTCCGGAACGCTTTGGGAAGGCCGCGGCGCCCGAGACGTCGTCCAGAGCCGCCTGATCTCAGGGATTCTCGATTCACCCTCGCCCGATGTTGCCCTCGCCCTGGCTCCCTCTCGAGGACCTGCAGGGGCACCCCGTGCTGGCGCCGCCCGCCATCCACCGCGACGGCTTCGTGCTGGCGCAGACGGCAGCCATCGCCCGCTACCTGGCGCGCCGCCTCGGGCTGCTGCCCGCCGGCGGCGCAGAGGCCGAGGCCCGGGCGGACCAGATCTGCGAGACGGTGCACGAGCTCCGCGGTGGCCCTGGCCCTCCTGGACCGCCGGAGCTTCGACCGTTTCAGTGTCTGCGGCAGCATACCTTGTGCAATCTAGGTGGAGCAATCAATGTGGTGCTATATATGGTGTGCAAGAATACGCGTGGCGCAATCTATGTTGTGCAATCCATGTGGTTCAATCTGCGTGGTGCAATATATGCGGTGCAATCTATGTTGCGTATATTTGTTTTGCAACATGCGTGGTGCAATCCGTGTGGTGCAATTGATTTTAACAACGTGTTTACACATCCCATGCTCTTGCAAGCATCCCACCCACCCGCAACGTGGTTTACAAAACCCATGCGGTGGCGATTGCGATGGGTGCCTGGCGTTAGCTGGTCCATCTATGCGGCCGCGCCAACCAAAGCGCGCTCGCGCAGCGGCCAGCTAGTATGGCGCGACCGATGCGGCCGCGGTATCCCAGCTGGCACTTCACTGCGAGTCGGCGACTTGGGCGGGCGCGGTAACATGGCAACGTCGACATCGGTAGACACGATGATGATAGTAACGATGTTGGTGACGATGTTGACAACGACGACGGCGCGGCCAGTGCGGGCCCCGATGCTGATGACGACGTCGACGATGACGGCGTCTTCGCGTCGGTGATGAAGGTTTCGGAGAGAGTTCGACATGCGCGCGGCCGAAGCGCGAGAGTGGCCCGCATGCTCGTATTTGACACGGATCGTGCCCCCCCAGCGCGCGCAAGGGCGCGCGAATAATGTCGGCATGCGGCGCGAGAGGTCCGCTTGGTAGAGTTCCGTGCATGTTCAAGAACAAATAAATGTTTAAAGTGTTCGCCAGAGCGCCAGTGCACATTTTTGTATGTTGTGTAGACACTCGGTTTTAAACTCGCTACGAAACTGAATGTTTGTGAGGGCTTCGGCATGCGCGCGCGACGACGCGCGCGCGTGCACTTCGTTTCATGTGTTGTAAACGGTTCTCGCGGTGGCACGCGTGCAAGGGCGTTCGAACGATTTCGACATGCGCGCGCAAAGCCCGTTTGAACACATATTAAGAGCATGTTGGAAAAATTGTGGTTTCCTCAAGAATTCCCAAGAGCGCGCGCGCAAGCTTTTTTTTGAACATCCGTGTTTGTACATGTGTTTTGGACACTCGGTTTTGACATCCGAAGCCAAGAGTTGTTGAAGGATTTCGGCATGCGCGCGCGACGACGCGCGCGTGTGCACTTCGCCTCATCTGTTGCGAGGGATTTTTTGAAAACTAGTGATTTGTATGAAACGAGTGCGCGCGCATACATAGGATCTGTTTCAAACGATGGCGAAGGGGGGGGGGTCGATACCGTATGGGCTGGGATGGTGCGAATTCGTACTTCGGATGGACGGTGGGGCAAAATCATACGTAAATTGCCATACGAAGCGGGGAACCGACAATCCCGGGGGGGAGGGTACAATTTTTTCTTCCCCGACCATGGCTTGCCTCTGTAGGGGTCCTAGCGGATTCAATCCCCAATCCGAGCTTGCCTCAAAACAGGGGTCCTAGCGGATTTTTGAAGTAAGGTGAGGTGCGTCGGGAATGTTCCCCGGTGCCTGGGTGCCTGGGGTGCGTCGGGAATTTTCCGGGGCGCCCGGGTACCCAGGTGCCTGGGTGCCTGGGTGCCTGGGTGCCCCAGTGCACCATAGCTCTATAGCCCAGCAGCCGTATAGCCCAATAGCCCTATAGCCTCATAGCCCGATAACCTTATAGTCTTGTAGCCCTATAGCCCCATAGCCTTATAGCCCTATAGTCCTGTAGCCTTCTAGCCCTTTATAGCCCTATAGCTTTTTAGGCCTAGAGCCCCTTAGCACTATAGCCACAGCCCTACAACCCTAAAGCCCAATCACCCTATAGCCCCACAGCCATCTAGTCCTATAGCCCTATAGCCTTATAGTCGTATAGCCCTATAGGCGTATAGCCCTATAGGCCTATAGCCCTAAAGCTCTATATTCCCATCGCCCGATAGCCCTATAGCCCTCAAATGATTATCATTTGGGATTTCCTCCAGTATCATCGGTTAGGTGAGGTGGATCGGGAATTTTACCAGGTGCTCGGGTGCCCAGGTGCCGGGGTGCGTCGGAAATTTGCCCGGGTGCCCGGGTGCATAGCCTTCTAGCCATCTAGCTCTATAGCCCAATCGCCTTATAGCCCGAAAAGGTCATATAGCCCAATAACCTTATAGCCCTATAGCCCCATAGCCTCATAGCCATAGCCCTGTAGCCCAATCGCCTTATGGCCCTATAGCCCCATAGCCCTACATCCCCATAGCCCCATAGCCCTATAGCCTCATGGTCCCATAGCCCACTAGCCCTATATTCCTATAGCCCAATAGCCCTTCAGCCCTAGAAAGATTACGATTGTTTTTTCCTCTTGAGAATCTACGTTGTTCTATCGAAAGGCCGTCGGCCCATCCCGCCACCGTGCCAGGGTTGTGTGTCAGAGTTATCAGGGATGATTTTGGGGGTCTCTTCGGGGCGCTTTCTGGGGGCCTCTTGCGGGCACTTCTGGGGCCTCTTGGGAGCCTCTTAGGGACCTCTTGGTGGTTTCTTGGAGCCTCTTGCGGATTTCTTGGGACCTCCTCGGGCCTCTTGGGGGCCTCTTGGAGCCTCCTGGGGGCCTCTCGGGGCCGAGGCTTCGAGCTGTCCACTCGGGCTCCCCATTTGGGACCCCTCTTGGAGCCGTCTTTGGGCCCTCATGGGCCGTCTTGGGCGCGGCTTGGGCCGTCTTGGGGCCCTCTTGGGAACCTCTAGGGCCGTCCTCCTGGGCAGTCTCAGAGCGTCGGGAAGCCGAAAGCGCGAAACACGCCAACAGCTGCCAGAAACCTGCGGGGAAGCAGTGATTTTGGCACCTTGGGGCCCTGCCTCATGGAGGCCTCTTGGGGCGTCTTGGAGGCCCTCTTGGGCCGTCCTGGGGTCATCGTACGCGTCTTGGGGCGGTATTTGGACGTCTCAGGGCTGTCGTGGGGGCTGCTTGCGGCCCTCTTGGCCCGTCCTGGGGCCCGCTTGGGCCCGAGAAAGTCTTGCGAGAAGATGCCTGGAACCATAGTAGGCACGCGGGGAGGTCAAGAAGACTTGGCAATTTGGGCTCCGCGCCACTTGAGGACACGCCCACTCCGCGCGCAGAGGCACGGTGGCGAATACAGAGGATGTGCAATCTAAGTTGTCCAATATGTGCTGTGCAACGTATGTGGTGCAATGGACGTGGTGCAATATCATGGTGCAATATATGCTGTTCAATTGGTTTAACAGACGAGTTGACACATCCCATGCTCTTGCAAACATACCACCCACCCACCCGCAGCTTGGTTTGCAAAACGCATGCGGTGGCGACAGCGATACATGCTTGGCATTGGCTGGTGCATCTCTGCGGCCGCGCCAACCCAAGCGCGCGCGCAGCGGCCAGCTAGTTTGGCGCCGCCGACGCGGCCGCGGTCGCGCTGACCGCTGAGCGCTGAGCGCATCCCAGCTGGCACTTCACTGCGAGTCCGCGACTTGGGCGGGCGCGGTACCATGGCAACGCCGACAACGGTAGACACGATGATGATAGTAGCGATGTTGGTGACGATGTTCGCACCGACGAAGGCGCGGCCAGGGTGAGCGCCGATGCTGATCACTCCGACGGCGATGACGGCTTCCTCGCGTCGGTGGCAAATGTCTTGGGGAGAGTTCGACATGCGCGCGCGGCCGACACGCGAGAGAGGCCCGCATGCTTTTATGTGACACGGATCGTGCCCCCCCCCCAGCACGCGCGCAAGGGCGTGCGAATGATGTCGGCATGCGTCGCCAGAGGCACGATTGGCAGAATCTTCATGAACATGTTGATACACCAATGGTTTTCTCAAGAGTTCGCAAGAGCGCGCGCGAACTTTTTTGAAAACGGTTGTTGCGAAGCCCTGTGTCTCTGAATGTTGTTGGACATTCGGTTTTGAAATCGGTACGACACCGAAAGTTTTTGAAGGATTTCGGCATGCGCGCGCGACGACGCGCGCGTGTGCATTCCGTTTCATTTTCTGCAGCAGCATTCTCGCGACGGCACGCGCGCAAGGGCGTTCGAACGATTTCGACATGCGCGCGCGAAACATGTTTGATAGCTTTTGGTGGAACCGATCGTTTCCTTAAGAATTCACAAAAGCGCGCGTTTTTTTGAGACCCCGTGTTGAGAAACCATGTGTTCTTATATGTTGTTTGGGCACTCGATGTTGAGGCCCCTCCGAAACCGAAGGTTGTTGAAGGAGTTCGGCATGCGCGCGCCACGACGCTCGCGTGTGCACTTCGTTTTTTTGGCAACGGATGCTTGCAGGCTGTTGTTTTTATATGCGAAAAAGATGGCGGGGGGCGATACCAGTTGGGTTGGGATGGTGCGAACTCATTTTTAGGATGGACGACTGGGGCGGAATAGTATGTGCAACTTGCAATACGAAATGGGGTACCGATATTCCCGGGGGAGTGGGGGGAGTCTATTCTTTTTGGGGAAAGGAGCATCTATGTGTTGCGATACTGGTTATGCGAAGTATGTTGTGCAGTAGATGTGGTGCAAACTATGTGGTGCCATCTATGTGGTGCATTTTGTACATCCATATATGTACACATATAGATTACACTCTGTGTTGTGCAACCGGTATGTACCTGTGATGTGCACGCTACGGGGCCCATTATACTTGGTGCCGTATACGTGGTGCAATATCTGTGGTGCAATGTATAACTACAAATAGGTCCACGTGTTCATGTATGGTTGTTGCGCAACGGATGAATTACAATTCAAGTGATGCAGCCGATGTTGTACAATAGATGTTGCCCAACCGATGTTGTACATTATGTGTTGTTCAATGTATATACACACGCGTACGTCATTTTGCGATCGATGTTGTGCAACGTATCTAGTGCAGGCTACGCGTACACTAAAAATCTCCATCTTCTGGCATATAAACATTTATCTATACACACAAGATTATTGTATGACACCATATCTACTGCAGCGACACCGGGCGGCGACAAGGCGGCGACGGGGCAGCAACGGCGACAACGTATCCGCCAGACCGCTTCACTGGCCACGTGCGGCGACGAGCGGCGACGGGGCGGCGACGGCGACAACATAGCCGCCAGACCGCTTCACTGGCCCAGACGACGTGCGGCGACGGGGCGGCGACGGCGACAACATAACCACCAGACCGCCGCACAGGCCCAGTTCCTGAGAACAGAAATATGAACCCCTAAGTGCGAGCACTGGTGAGGGAGATATGGCAGCCAGCGTGGATCCCAAACGGCGATTTATTTCAGGCTATGCGGTGCACTCTAGGAGATTCACCCAATGTGGTGCAACCTAGGCGGTGCACGCTGCGCAGTGCGAAGCAATGTACATCAATCCAAAGCAGAGCAGTGGGAAGCAGTGGGCAGCACTGCGAAACAATTGAAAGCAATGGAAAAGTAGCGGAAAGCAATGCAAAGCGATGCGAAGTAAAGCAAAGCAGCGTAAAAAGCAACGCAGCGCAGTGCAGCGCCATGCGCAGCAGCGCGGCGACTGGCGGCGACGGGCACGCAGGACCGCCGTTGGGGCTCAGCGGCGACGGCGGCGACGGGCGGCCACGAGCCGGCCAGACCGCCGCTGGGGAGCAGCCACCTCAGAGCACCAATGAGAAACCCTATACAGTCGGGGCGCTGAAGAAGGAACCCTTTTTCGTTGGGGAGGGGCTCCGTGTTCCTTAATTGTTTCACAGTTTGCCCCACGTTTTCCTTAGGTTTCCGAAGGGACATCGAAGTTCAACTTCTGTAGAAAAGGGGCCTCGTTCCTCATTTAGGGTTCCTTAGCTCAGCGCCCCGACTGTATAACCCTATATTTGCAAACACTGTTTTGGAACAAATCGGGATCCCAGCGCTGCCTGTTGTACACCACGGGCGATTTGCCTTGTTTCGCTTTCTGTCGGCCCCCGGGAGACGCACGGACCGAACCGGCTCGAAAAATGCAGCAGAGAGAAAAGGTCCAGGCTTTCCAGTCGAGATGTTCAACGGTGCTTCATTTCCTTGTGACGTCGGATTTCCAAGATCGACATACGGTCAGGAACGCTTGCTTCGCGTGCCGCGCCGCCAGTTCTGGCCCACCATGCTGCGGCGTTCGACACACTAACAGCTTGCAAGTCCTCGAGCTTCAGCGTCCCGAGCTCTTCCCAGCCTCCCGCCTCGTGGAGCGGAGCGACGCGCTAGCAGCTGACACGGCGTACGTGGCGTGCCGCCGTGGCCGCCGCCACGACACGCGAAGCACGTGTTCCCGACCGCAAGCCTCCTCCTCGTCCTCCTCCTCCGCCTCCTCCTCCGTCTCCTCCTCCTCCTCCTCCTCCCACTCCTCCTCCTCCTCCTCCTCCTCCTCCGCCTCCTCCTCCTCCTCCTCCTCCTCCTCCTCCCTGGAGCTGCGCTGGGACACCCCGGCGGTGCCTCCACCAGGCCGCGCGGCAGGGAGGGCAGCCCAGCGCCGAGCCAAGAGGTCTGCGCGGACCGCCGTGAGCTTACGTGCACGCAGAGGTGTGTGTTTCGTTCGAGCGTTGGAGTGCTCACGCCCAGCGCTGGGGAGCCGTGCCCTCCAGGGCCTGTGCACGCGTACGCGTCCGCCCAGGCGTGCGGGGCGGGCAGATCTCCGCACAAGCCCACTGCGCCCCGGGGACCCCAGGGCACGACTCCAGAAGCTGTGGACTTGGCGACATGGACGCTTCCTGCCGGTGCCCCTGTCTGGCCCTCCAGGGCTGACAGGGATGCACGGCGTGGCGTTCTCTCCCCGGGCTCTCGCCATGAAGGATCAGCAGGCTCCGAGGGGAAGGGAGTGTTTGCCGCCGTCTTCGTCGTCCCAGGGCCCCTCCCGGGCCCTGGGATTGCAACAAAACTATTCAGGGCGTGAAGCCGATCGTTGTGAAAAGCTCCAAGGTCCATGACCTGTCTCCATGGGGGCGCTTTCGCATTGTATTTCGAGCTCCAGGGCCCGCAAAGATCGATGCATGTCGACACACGCCGCAGAAATATTGTGCCGAAGGGTCTTGCCAAATTCGGATTATATCATCGTGGAAGACCTGCATGTGAAACCAACAGATAAGGCAGAAATGCCATTGTAGAGTACATACCAGCATTGTGCATCATTGTGAGCATCGTAGGGCAGCATGACTTAGCTGCAGTGGATGGCATGGCAATGCATAGCGTACTTAGTATCGCACGGCGTAATATAGCAGAGTCTTGTATTGATTAGTCCAGATGCCAAATACATGCATTGATTAGCTCACCGAGCCATTGCTACGCACATCATGGCATCGCATTGAACAAACATTGTAGACGTTCATTGCGCGCCATGGCTCAGTAGTGCATTGGATTGTATTGCGCTTCGGAGCATTGCCTAGCATCGGATTGGAAGCAACCTCATATCATTGCATCCCGCAGTTAAGCGCAGCAGAGCATGCCAGACCAAGGCATACCATAGGATGGCTGTTAGTGAATGGGCCACCATGACACAGTGCATTACGGCGAAGCTCTGCATTGTGTCGCACTGCGCGCATTCGCATAGTGTTGCCTAGCAAAGCGCAGAGCAAACCAGAGTAGAGCAACGCAAGTCAAACCAACGCCACATAGGCCCTGCACGACGCATTGTGCCGAATAACCCCGAGGAGCCAAGAGAAAGTGTCCCCGAGGACCCGGCGGGAGGGCAAACGCGTTTGAAAATTCTAGGTGCGGCATGTTGGCGAGCGAACAACACTGCAGCGCAACGACCTTAGATGTTTGTTTGCGGACCTTCCCAGGGACTACCTAGCAGATCTGTTCGACTCTATCCCGACTCTAGTCCGACTCTAGTTCGACTCCTAGCCTGACTCTAGTTACGATTCAAATTCGATTCAGGTTGAGCTCGAGGTTTATTCAAGTCGGCAGACATTCGACGAAGCACCGACGCATGACTGGAGCGAGCGGCTTCCAGGAAGGTCCCCAGAACGCGCGTCTGAATGACCAGCCGGTCAAGCGGACGCTCCCGATGCTGCGACAGCAAGGAGGATTTTGTGGTAGTTGCACGCTCTCGCTGTTCAGTTCCCCCCGCATGGTGTGTCTGGCTGACTGCGAGCTCCATGCCTCGCAGAGGGAGGGCCCACCTCAGATAAGAGAAAAGGGCGCACAAAAGCACCGGAGGGGTAGGGCCACCACGGCCGCGAGCTGGTGGCGGAGGGGCGGCTCGCTTTCCACCCGGACCACTCCCACAGGAAGCCCTACCACGCGCAGAGGTCAGGGGGCCATCGCCCAGTCCTCGCCCATCGAGGGGGGGTTCGAAGTTTCATCTTTTTGGGAGTTGTCGCTGGATCCCAGCGGGTTTCCAGCCTCGGGGTGCCCTCCGGCAGCTGCGCCTCATCCAGAGTTTTCAGGTGGGCCCGCATCATCCCGAACGGCCGCCAGAGAGCCGAGGTGTGGCCCGAAACCATGGGGTAACGTTCGGGGGAGATGGGCTTTTCAAAAGGCGGCGGGACTTCTGAGAAACCCTCGCGCCCTCCGAGAAGTGATTCTGTGTCTTCGGGGAGGGCGCAGAAAACTTCTCAGAGGCCGCGGGACTTCCGAGCCTTCTGCAAAGGCCTCTGCCTTCAATCGCTCGGCCCGGCCCGGCCCGGCCCTCGCCCTCGCCCAGAACTGCAGGGCTCGGTGACCCACCTTGCCCAATGGAACGTGCGGCTCCGGCACCGCGGGCCTCACGCCGAGCCACCAGCGATGCAGCACTGGCTCCAGCTCGATGCTTCCTGCCCGTGAGCCAGTCCCCCTCCCCCTAGCTCGGAAGCCGGCTGCTAAATCCGTGGCTGCTAAAATCGACCTCTTGGGAGTTGTCTTCGCCCTTCCGGGAAGAAGCCCGTTGACTGTTTCGCGTGCCGCGCCTCATTCCGGGAAGTTGTTTTTTCCTCCCGAGAGGGCCGTTTTAGCAGCCGCGGCTTCAGCAGGGGAGGAGGAGGAGGAGGAGGAGGAGGAGGAGGAGGAGGAGGAGGAGGAGGAGGGAGGAGGAGGAGGAGGAGGAGGAGGTGTGGAGGAGGAGGAGGAGGAGGAGGAGGAGGAAGAGAATGAAGAAGAAGAAGAAGAGAAGAAGAAGAGAAGAAGAATAATAAGATAATAAGAAGAGAAGAATAGAGAAGAAGGAGGAGGGAGGAGGAGGAGGAGGAGAAGGGGGAGGGGAGGAGGAGGGGGAGGAGGAGGAGGAGAGGAGGAGGAGGAGGAGGAGGAGGAGGAGGAGGAGGAGGGGGGAGGAGGAGGAGGAGGAGGGGGAGGAGGAGGAGGAGGAGGATGGGGGGGGGGAGGGAGGGATGGGCAGGGCAGGGCGACTGGCGTCCCCCCCCCCTCGCGAGGGCCGCGGCGGCGCCGTACATCGAGGCCTTCGAGCGCTCGCGCCTGCCGCGGCTGCTGGCGCACTTCGAGCGGCTGCTGGCGGCCGGCGCCGACGAGGGCCCCGAGGGCGCCGAGGCCTGGGCTGCACGTGCACGGGTGTGAATAATGGAGGACCCAGACCCCCTCGAGTCATGAAAAAATCACGACGGGAGGTTTTTCCATACTTGTGGCTTTTGGGGGCCCCTACCGGGCCTCGGGACCGTCAAAAAACGACTCAGGAGGAAACACCGGTCCTGGGGAATGGGTCCAAACCTCTGGGGGTCGACGTCATGAAAAAATCATGACGTCGGGGGTCTGGGGATGACGATTAATGAATGACCGGGGGTCGTGTCCACGCGGCGGCGCCCGGGAGGACGATTCGAAAAAATTGGCTGCGGGCCGGAACGCTATTCTTTCTAGTCGTTCGCCTCCCGTCAGAGAGTTGTGCAGACATAGCAGAAAACGATGGTCTGAATCGGTCTCTCTTATTTTTATACTAATCGTCATCCCGCATTATGCCTGGGTGTGGTTTGCGATCTGCGTCGGTGGTAGCTCGGGGGGCACCACGCTGCCCCCGTCGGGCCTCCCCGGAGCGCGGCCGAGAGCTGCGTCGAGGTCTTCGCCTGCCCCCCGGGGTGCGGGCTGCAAGCCACACCCGTCGCAGCTCGAACCCTTCGGATGCCCCGTGTCGGAGTGACCTCGGTGCGCGGTGTTCGGGGGGGGGGAGGAAAGGCGGGGGGGCTGGGTGGGCTGAAAGCCAGAGCGCGCGGGCCGCTGTTGCCGAAGTGTATGATGAGGCGATCGGCCAGCCGCGCACCGGGGATGCCGCCGCCTCACCGAGACCCTGAGATCCGACGTCGCGAGAAACTGCAACAGCGCCGCAAAGACGCCTCGACTGGAGCCCTGCACGGACTCCGTCTCTTTGCGGCAGCTTCCGGGCCAGATCGATCCGTGAGAGAGTCCCCGGGGCCTGCTCCGCGGGGCAAAAGCAGTCGCCCGTGGCGAACACTAGTGCGCCGCCAGGCTCCAGGATCTCGGGGCAGAGGAGGAGGAGGGGGCAGGAGGAGGAGGAGGGGGCAGGAGGAGGAGGAGGGGGAGGAGGAGGAGGTTGAGACGCTGTGCTTAGCGAGAAACGTCAGAAATACAGGAGAGGCAGGAGGAGGAGGAGGGAGGAGAAGAGGAGATGGAGGCAGGAGGAGAGGAGGAGGAGGAGCAGGAGAGGAGGAGGAGGGGGGGCCTCCCCCGCGCGCAGCCGCGGAGCCCGGGAGCCCGGCTGGCCCGGTCGGCGGCTGAGCTACGTCGACCTGCAGCTCTTCGTGGCGCTGCGGGCCGCCCGCGCCTCGTTCCCGGGCGCCGGGGGGCTCCCCGCGCGGCTGGCGGCGTTCGAGCGGCAGATCGCCGGGAGGCTCGGCATCGCCCAGACCCATCGGGTTCCTCCTCCTCCTCCCTCCTCCTCCTCCTCCTCCTCCTCCTCCTCTCCTCCTCCTCCCCTCCGCTCCTCCTCCTCCCCCCTCCTCCCTCCTTCCTCCTCCTCCTCCTCCTCCTCCTCCTCTCTCCTCCTCCTCCTCCCTCCTCCTCCTCCTCCTCCTCCTCCTCCTCCTCCTCCTCCTCCTCTTCCTCCCCCTCCCCCACCCCTCTCCCTTCCTCTCTTTGTCGGGCCGGACGAAAGGGGGGCACTGGGGAAAGGGGGGGGTACGAAATCTGCTGCGTGCAGCTGGTTCCGGCCCCACCGAGGCGCCCAGTCCTCTATGCATGGCCGCCTCCCGGCGCCCGGAGGCGCCGGAAAGATCAGCTACGTGAGCTGATTCTCAAGTCCCCCCTTTGCTATCCCCCCCTTTCGCCTGGCCCGAGCCGATCCCTTCGGATATTACAATTTACTTCAGCCTTGATAGCCAGAAAGAATTTTGAGCACCAAGAGAGGACCGAAACTGGAGGGTTTCCACACTGTTTCGATACTCTTTCTGGGTGCCCGAAATTATTCCTGGGATGTGGTTCTGAAGTACAATGGGAACAGGATATCCCCAGCCCCACTGTGACCATTTTCGGGACAGTCTGTAATACAACTTCCCTGGCGATCACGGAGGGGGAGGGGTCCAGTCACGTCCCGCTGTCCGCCGCCGGCTCCATCTGGGGATGCGCCAGAACGGCCAGTTCCCAGACGGTGCCGGCGCGAGTCGTGGCGTGGAGGAGGGGAGGGCGGCTGGGGGGGCTGGGCTGGTCACGGTCGTGGTAGCCAATAATATAGGACAAGTTCTTGAGCGACCCCCAGCCCCACTTTGACCATGGTACCTCAGCCCAACCAACAGCCCCCCCACACCACACACACACAGACACACACACACACACACACACACAAGTTGTCAGAGGAGGACAAGGGTCCCGATACTGCTACCCTTGCTTTGCGTCGTTTTCGCTTTTTGGGAGACTGATGGGAGTCCCTCGTTTCCAGGGCTGGATTTGCTTCAGTTGTTCGTCAGAACGCACCCCTGGAGAGATCTGGAGAGCAGATGTAGTGGCACCGTTTGGTTCCCCCCAGTTGTGGATGTGCTCCGCGCGACCCGAAGGGAAGGGAGCAAACCAGATCCCCACCTACGGTAGGTTCGTGTCGTATCGAACCTGCCGCCAGCGTCCAAGGTTGAACGCAGCCCAGTCATGCAACATGGAACAGATTGGCGGACGGGAAACCGCCGATCTTTCAAGGTTGAACAGTCCACTCGGTGTCAGAAGCCGACGCCGTGGTCGTCGCGACACGAACTTGCCGCAGGGGGGTCTGTTGGCCAGTGGTGCCAAGGCCATGCCAGCGGGGACAGGGATCGGTTGAACGGTGCCCACAGGCGCCGCATTGCGGACTACCTCGACTCACCGCGCTGCAGGCCCTTCGCTGGCGACTCGATGATGTGAGCGAGGAGGGGCCCGAGCGGAAAGAGGCGCGGCCTCCCCGGAGGAGGAGGAGGAGGAGGAGGAGGAGGAGGAGGAGGATGGAGGAGGAGGAGGAGGAGGAGGAGGAGGAGGAGGAGGAGGAGAGGAGGAGAGGGAGGAGGAAGGAGGAGGGGGAGGGAGGGAGGGGGGGAGGGGGGGAGGGAGGGAGGGAGGGCCCCAGGCGCGGCGCCCAGGCGCTCCTCGCGCGCCTCCCTGCGCGAAGGCTTCTCTGGCCGGGCAGCCGATGCGGTCCGTCTTTCGGCCGCTCGGGCCGTCGCGACTGCTGCAGCCATCGACCGTGCAGCTCGCAGTGCCTCGATGGCTCGATGCCTCTTTTCGGCCATGGTGTGTGATTGCGCTAAGATGGAAGGAGGAGGAGGAGGAGGAGAGCGAGGAGGAGAAGGAGGAGGAGGACAGGGAGGAAACAGTCAGGAACCTTTGCTCCGCCCGTTCTGGCCCACCACTTTTCGGCGCGACGCGCTGAACCACGTCCCTGCCCCCAAGCGTCAACGCCCCGAGCTTTTCCCAGCCTCTCGCCACGCAACGCGGAGCGACACGCCCTGCGCTTGCAGGGCCCAGCGTGTCGCCACGGCCCGCCGCCACTCGCTGGGCTGCCTCCAGACCGCCACCGGGGGCGACCAGCTCTATGCACGGCCACTGCCCCCTCGCCGGGCCCTCCCTGGGGCCCAGGAGCGGCGCATGCTCCTCTCCCAGACCCCCGCGACGTCGTGATTTTTTCATGACGTCGACCCCCAGAGGTTTGGACCCATTCCCCAGGACCGGTTTTTCCTCCCGAATCGTTTTTTGACGGCCCCGAGGCCCGGTAGGGGCCCCCAAAAGCTACAAATATGGAAAAACCTCCCGTCGTGATTTTTCATGACTCGAGGGGGTCTGGGCTCACCGCTCCCGGGCCCCGGGCCAGGCCTGGCCAGGACCCGGTGGGCGCGTGCAGACCTCTCACCGCCCAGGCGCCCTCCGACCGGCGGCCCCTGCCCGATCGGACCGCCGGGAGGGCGGCGGGCCGACCTCGTTCGGGAGGGGAAGAAGCACACAGACACAATGAATCGTCGATTCCCCAGAAAATGTGGGACAAGATGGGCAGTGGGGGGGAAGACGAAAACCCAGAAAACATGGGAAAAAAAATGGGGGATCTTTGTATTTGTGTGTGTTTATTTGTGTGTCCTGGGGCCCCTGCACTCGTGAGGCCCCGAGCCGCGCCGCGGGGCCCGTGTTGGCGGAGGCCCGCCCGCGGCGGAGAGCCCGCCCGCGGCGGCGGGGGTGGGTCTGCTCAGCAGGGCAGTGCGCGGCGCGCCGCCCTTGGCCTCGCCGCCGCCGCCCCCGTCGCCGCCGCCCCCGTCGGCCGCTCGAGGCTCGGGTTGTTTTCGGGCGTGCTCGTCGGTTCCTGCCGGCGCTCCCGCCTCGGGCGGCTCCTCTCCAGCAGGCTGCGCCTCGCCGAGGGCGTGCCAGAGGTGCCCACGACGACCTTCCCCAGAACGGCCTCCGAAGGCCCGAGCGCTACCCCGAGAACGCAGTCCGACTGCTGTTGGCGTGAAACAAAACCAATCCATCCGCTGACGTGGCTTCGACGGGGCCGCCCCTGGACCCCCCATTTCAATGTTGCGTTCGCGGCCGGTGTCAGTCAGGAGAGGGAAAAAACACACAGACACAATTAAGCGTCGGTTCCCAGGAAAATATGGGAAAATATGGAAAGTGGGGGGGAAGATAGAAACCCAGAAAATATGGGAAAATAGGGGGAATTGTTTTATTTGTGTGTATTTATGTGTGTGTGTGTCCTGGGGCCCCTTCAGTCAGGGCGCAAGCATCGGCATCAAAAACGCCCAAAGCTCCAACACCAAGGCAGCTCCCCTTTCTTCAACATTGACATTGGGCGGGGCACGGGGGTTCCGAACACAGCAGCAGTGTCCATCATGCCCGGTGGGCGTTCTTATCGCCAACGGCGGCAGACATTATTCTGTCCCCCTCCTCCTCCCTTGGGGGGAGGGGAGCGCTCGCGGCGGGGCAGGGTCGACACGCCGGAGAAGCGCGCCCGCTTCCCTGGCTTCGCGGCCATGGTGCGCCCCCCTTTGCGCACCGCCCAGCACGACGTCGGCGACGGCGCGGGCGCGTCGGCGGCGGTGTCGGCGTTGGCGGCGACGGCGAGGAGGAGGAGGAGGAGGAGGAGGAGGAGGAGGAGGAGGAGGAGGAGGAGGAGGAGGAGGAGGAGGAGGAGGAGGAGGAGGAGGAGAGGGAGGATGGAGGCGGCAGGACAAGGAATAGGCGGATGATGATGAGGAGGAGTAGGAGGAGGAGGAGGAGGAGGAGGAGGAGGAGGAGGAGGAGGAAAAGGGCGACCGTCTTCGGTTCGGAGGGCGTCCTGAGCGTTCCTGGAGGTTTTTCTGGCCGCCGCGGGGCGTGGCCGCAGCTCGCAGAGCGGGCCAGCAGAGGCCCCCAGGAGAGAGGTCCCGCGGGGGCCCGGGTTCCAGCGGAGCTTCCGTGGGACGACGGCTACGGCAAGGGCGCACTCGCACTGGTGCGTGCTCGTTGCTGCGAGTACGCGGCGCGGGCCCCGCAGAAGCTCTTCAGGGAAGCAGTCCAGGAGAGAATGAGGAGGAGGCAGAGGGGGAAAGGGACCGAGTACCCCCGGACTTCTGAAGAGATGCTTTCTTTCAGTTTCGGTGCGTTCCCGTCATTTTTCGACTTCTGGGGGCCGCTTCCAGGCCACGGGACCATGAAACATTCATCAGGGACGCACACGGAGCTCTGGAGCCGCGCATTGAACAAATTAGCAAGCACATCCGAACCGTGATGATTATGGATGTCTCTTAACCGCGGGATGGATTCCGCCGAAATGTGTGGGACAGGGAGCCCACGTTACGAACCTGCGCTACGAGTCCACGCTGCGTCGTGGCGTGTGCTCGCAGAGTGGGCTCGTAGCGTGAGTCTGTAGCGTTTGCTCGTAGCGTGGGCTCGCCGCGTGGGCTCGTACGTGGCGTGGGCTTGTCCGTAGAGTGGACTCGCAGCATCGTCTCGTAGCGTGGGCTCGCAGCGTGGGCTTCAACGGGTCTGTCACTCAGGGGAGACCCTGTTCCGTGAAGGACCCACCTGGCGAGAAAGTCCAGTGAATGTTGCGGCGACGGCTCACGTTTTGAAAGGGTCTACCCTCCATCCGTGCAAGCGTTGCACACGACCATCGCTCTTGTCATAACATGCGGGGCCATGGTCTAGTGAGGGCCCCTTTCTCAAGAAGGAGCAGCCCTCCACCGGCGCAGCTGATCAGCAACCTTGATCTCCAGGACAATGTGTGGGGATGCCTCTGGCGATTGCCTCGTTCGAAGAACTACTCGTGCTGCGTCCATGTACGTGTTGGACATTCCTAGACTCGAAGTCATATCTGTGTATCTATATATATATATATACAGTCGGAGCCCTGAAGAAGGAACCTTTTTGGTTGGGGAGGGGCTCCGCGTTCCTTAAGTGTTTCACAGCTTGCCTCAGGTTTTCCTTATGTATTCGATCGGAAATCGAAGTTCAACTTATGGAAAAAAGGGGCCTCGTTCCTTATTTAGGGTTCCTCAGGTCAACGCCCCGACTATATATATATATATTATTATATTATATTATATTATATTATATTATATTATTATAAATTATATTATATTACATTATATTATATTATATTATAGTATATTGTGTTATATTATGTTATATTATTTTATATCATATTATATTATATTATATTATATTATAGTATAGTATATGATATGATATGATATGATATGATATGATATTATATTATATTTTGTTATATTATATTATGTTATGTTATATTATATTATATTACATATACACACGATGTGCACAAACAGCGGGTGAGAAGTTCTCAGGGCGAAGCGCCCATCCCGCCGTAACGACACGCCTGGTGGTCCGGCATGGAGGAATAAGCCGTCTCTGCGGAAAGCGGGCGAAGGAAAAGTTCAAGTCTTGATAGGGGGCTCAACGCTCCGGAGCGTGCTCAACCTCTGGTCGGCTAACGGGGGGGTCCTTGCTGTCGCGGCTGGGCTCCCCTTCGCCGAGCCTGGCCCGTCGCGCCGGCCTCGGGGGAGTCGCCGGAGCTCCTCGCCCTGAAGAAGTACAGGGCGTGCCGCGAGAAAAGCGCAGGCGGAGGATCGGGGCACGTCAGCTGACCGCCGCTGCATCGAGCCTGGGCCCAGGCTGGGCCCGGCCAGCTCCGCTGAGGCGGTCCGTTGACCCGTTGGGGTTCCACAGATCTCTATCCCCATGGGGCCCTGCGATCTCAGCCCCACCATGCCACTCCCTCAGTGGGACTTGTTTTCCGTGCAGCCCGAAGGGGACAGCTGATGTCCACATCTAGGCGGTCAAGTCGGCCAGTGGGGTCAGTGCCACGCCAGTGTCGGTGGGGATCGGGCAAACGATGGTCATTGACTCCCCCGCCCCCGAGAAGACACGGAGACGCAGTCGGAGGAAGGGGGTGGCCCAGAGATCCAGAGCGCCGAACAGAAAAATCAAGGCGGTCGGTCTGCCTCTGGAGGCTGATCTGGGGCTCCAGGACCGTCAACAACACTGCCCAGGATGAACCACTGGCAGCGGGGAAGGCCCGGGGGTCTGCGCACCGAGCAACGTCTAGGCTCCGGATTTTCAGGGAGGCGGAGGCTTCTCCTCGCCCACCCTCGCCCTCGCCCCCCTGCCCTGCGCCCCCGCGCCCGCCCTCATCCACGCCTTCTCCTCCCGTCCCCTTCTCCCCCGCCCGAGCCCTCGTACCTGTCTCCCTCCCCGTCCCTCCAGGCCGTCCCCCTTCCCACTTCGCTTTCCCCTCCCCCGTTCCCGTCCTTGTCTCCATCCTCCGCCTCCTCCTCCATCCCAAAGTGCTTCCAGCGCTCCGGCGCCACCGCCGTGAACTTCTCTTCGCTGTCCTCGGGGACGATTGTCGGCGTCCTGTCCCAGACATCCGGCGCTCCAATTTT